GGGAGTGGGGGGTAGAGAAGGCTGCACCTGAAGACTTCTGTTCCCCTCCTCCGCTGCCTCTGATACAGAAGCAGCAAGTGGGGAGGGGGGAAATGAGTAGTCAACTCGATTACCTGATAAGCCTAAACTTATCAGCAGGGCTCGACAAACTATACAATCTACTCGCCTGTGGCGAGTAGATTTCAGCTGCGCACCCTGTTCATTGGCGGTGTGCGCATGCGCAATGCAGCTCTTGCACATGCGCAGCGCGGGGCTGGTGAACGGTTTTCGCCGCCGTTTGTCAAGCCCTGCTTATCAGGAAGTCAATTGATCCACTACTCTTTTTCATCTCTATGCTTGACTAAAGAGCTCATTATCAAATATTTATTCCCCACATGTCTTTATAAACTGTGATCCAGTCACCCCTTAAAAAGAAGGTTAAGCTAAATAGGTTGGCCTCTTTGATTCTCTCCCTCTTGCATGTTTTCCAATCTGTGAATCATTTTTGTGGATCTTCCCTGTACCCTCTCCAAACCCTATTTATATACACATTCATACAATAGCAGTTGGTAGATACTGATACAGATACACACTCCCTCTCAGGATTGTCCTCTTTTTTGAAAGTTCAAATATGGTCAGGGCTCGACAAATACACTCCCCCCCTCGTCCGTGGTGAGTAGATTTTGCCAGCTGGCGAGTGCAGGGGCGGACTGGCCCGGTGGGCTGTTGTAACAGGCTGGCTGAAGCCTGCACTACGGGCGGCACAGCCCCATCCAATCCACTAGCCGGGCGGAGGAGCAGAGCGCCGCTGGGAAGAGGGAAGTGTGGCGATTCTCAGTGCTGGGCTGCTTGTGCAATTGTGGTGCGAGGAGGCGGGGCGCCAGCAGACGATTTTAAAGGGCCGCGTGTCCCTGGCAGCTGGCTCCAGTCCTGCCACAGCCCCAGCCCCCTTGCCGGCGAGAGACCTCTCCCGGCCGACCGCTTGGCTCGCTGCACCCGCCCCACGCCCCATCTGGCTCCTGCCGCCCGTTCCCCATGCCGCCCCTCCACCCCAGATCCCCTGCTCTTCCTCTGGCTCTGCTCCGCCCTTGCACCCCGCACCCTGCTGCCCCCGACCCCGGCCCCCCCAGCTCTGTGTTGCCCATTCCCTGCACTGCCCCTAGACCCCGATCCCACCGCCCATTCCCCACGCCGCCCCTACTCCCCTGCACCCCGGGCCCCCTGCTCTCCCTCTTCCCTGCGACCCTCTGGCTCTGCGCCGCCCTTACATCCTGCACCCTGCTCCCCCCAATCCCTGCCCCCCCAGCTCTGTGTTGCCCATTCCCTGCACTGCCCCTAGACCCCGATCCCTCTGCCCCTCCCATTCCCTGTGTCCCATTCCCCGTGCCTCCACCGCAACCCACACACTGCTTCCCCCCCCATCCCTGCGTGTCTCTGGCTCTGTGCTTCCCATTCCCTGCGCCACCCCTGTCCCCTCCTCCCCCACTGTTCCCTGCACCCCTCTGGCTCTGTGCTGTCCCTGCACTCTGTTTCCCCTGTGGGTCGGGAGTGAGGGGTGCTTGTCCATAGGGAGGGGCTGGACAGGCCAGGGAAAAGGCTGCTGTGACCCAGCAGCGAGTGAAAGGGGGAGTTCACTTGAAGCGCCTTTGCCTTTATGGAAAAAACGAATGAAAATGCTATTTGCTATTTATAGGGCTAAAATGCTGGGACAAAAATGAAAACAAACAAACAAACAAAACCCATTGCAAAATGCAAACATGCAAATGAAAACAGAAAAAGGGGGGGGCTCAAAAATGTTTTGCTTGGGGCAGCAAAAAACCTAGAGCTGTCCCTGGGGGAGGGGAAGGGGCTGGGCTGGGCTGTGGGGAGAGGAGGGGAAAAATATGGAGAAGGGGCTTGTGCTGAGGGGAGGGGAGGAGGGCAGGAGAAGAAGAAAGGGGAAGGCACCAAGGGACAGGGGTGCAGGAGAGACAAATGCTAGGGGGTAAAGTGCAGACAATGGGGAAAAGGGCAGGAGGGGAGGTGTCAGTGGGAGAGGAGAGGGTAAGGGCACTGGGGGCTAGAGGGGGAGGGGGAGGTGCTGGGAGAAGGCTTGAAAGAAGGGGTGGGCATGAGGAAGGTGGGGATGGAGCAATGCATATGTGAGGGCACAGGGTCATGAGAGAATGGGGGCAGAGGCTGCTGAGGGGGTGGATATCAGGGAAAAAGAGAGCAAAGGGGACAGGGGCAGTGAGGGAAGGGGGAGGCACCAGGACGGTGCAGGTGCCAGGAAATTCTGGGGGTGAAGCAGAAGGGCAGGCACCTGCAGGGGACGAACCAGCACCAGAGGAGAGAGGCAGGGCAGGTGTGTAGATGGAGGTGTTAGGAGAGGGGATGAGGAGGGGTAGCCCACATGATCAGAGTGGGGCTACTGGAGGTGCGAGCACGGGAGGAGAGAAACGATGAG